CGTATAAAATTCCCTTTCAGCCATAAAACGTTTTTTTTTTTTTTTTTTTTTTTTCAGGGAATTATTACACAACTCTCAGAACAAATTTCCACACTAAATGAGAGAATGGATGAATTTACATCTCGCATTGAAGAACTTAATTCCAAATTCTCTGCCAGGAAAGTCTCGGCCAGCCAACAAAACCTGGCACTGCAGGCCGAAGCATGCAATGGGTCTGGACCGACATCTCATTTCGTCAGTGGCTTAAGTAATGGTTCCTTGACTGGAACTCTTCTGCCCAATTCTTCGTCGTCTTCTCAGTTGGCTAAGGAGTCTCCACTGATGGAAGAGGTGATACAACCATAATGTCCCTGCTTTTATGTATAGAGACCTTTTTTTTTTTTTCCCTCTTCCTTTTAGTCTTCTATCCAATATAAAACTAGAGAGTTAGAACTTAGAATCCTGGGAGGTTAATTATCTTGTAACTTCTGAAGATGGGTATAAGACTGTTGAAAACCTTAAGAGTTTGCTAATAGCCGGTTTGATTCATAAGTTTGAACATAAGGTGTGAACAGAAACTTAAAATTTTACAAGAAACAATACTGTAGCAAAAAGGTTTTTAAATTGTGCTTCCAAATGCAAACCAAACAACACATAAAAAAAGTTGATTGTCCATCTAGAAAAATCGTTTGAAAGAATAATGTAAGTTGTCAATAGTTGACACTACAGTTAACCAACTTTCTAGGCTGAAGATTTGAGTCATTATAAGAAGGCAGCTACTGAGAGTGATGTTTGATAAAATCGGCCGAAGTTACCATATCCAAGTTTGAATAAAGCATGACATTATAGCGTAACTACCATTTCCTTCTACAAATGTTTTCGCTGTGTATGCGAACTATTGTTTTTGAGATTCTAGTTCGGTTCTAGGCAATGATCATGTTCTCTTAAGTTTTTATCTTCACAACTGATGATTTATTTGTGTCTTTGTCAAATTTTTAACAGTTACTAGCTATTTCGCGAGGGCAGCGTCAGGTCATGCACCAAATAGACAATCTGAGCAATCTTCTGCGCGAGTTTTCGGGAGACAGATTCCGCCATGGAAGAACAGAGGGGACTAGCAGAACCATTGATGTTGATTCAATAACTGGTCCCCTTTTACTAACCTTAGCACTTGGTGGTTTAGGTGTCTTCTTGTTCAGAAGTCTAGCTTGGTAGAAATAAACTTCAGTGGCTAGCAGCTCATTTTCAGCTTTCTTCCAATGATAAAAGGGCCATCAATTGTCTGGTGAAGTCTGGATCCGCAGTGGGAAGTAGATAACCAATAATGTTTTCTTGATATACGACCTGGGATATGTACTGTAAATAACCT